AAGAGTAACTAGAGAACCCCGGAATGTCCCAATTTGTGAGTCTCTCCTCTGCTGTGAACTCCCTGCGGGAAGCATGGCTGGGCAACTTCTGCCTATTTGTAGTAAATTCTATGTAACGATACATGCATGACCTCCCTCTCCCAAAAAGGTCTTGTCCATGCAACTGTGAGTTCTGGTGACCATCGGGGTGACATCTGGAATGGGAGTAAGTGACACTGCAGCTGCATTTCACCTCTGACCTTCAATTCTGCTTGTGCTTTGAAGGGAAGACACATGAAAAGCAGTTTCCATTGCAGGCCAAAATCTGCCTGCTTGAACAAACTCAAGATGGACTTTCACTGGGTAAATAACAACACAGCCTCTTTAAAAGATATCCAGCATTCAGGTTCTTATTTCAGATTGTCATACTCAAATCAGAGCAAGGTGGGGATGGCTTTCAAATTTCTTATACTAGGTGTCTGGCACTGTTGGTGCCCTCAGCAGAACCCCCGCTTGCTGGAGGCTCAGAAATGCCAATTTTTGATTAAAAATGCTGTCTGTAGCTCCAATTCTCAGTTTGTACCTGGTGACAAGAGCTCCTCAGCATGTGGCATTTCAGAGCAATGTGCAAAATAAGGATGCAGCTGGGGACAGTTTGTCTCAAGCAACTGGTAATAGGCTAGAGTAAAGCTTGTCAGTGTGGGGTAGACAGAACTTTCTCTGGGGATGGTCCAAGACTGTGGAATGAACTCTCTCTAGAATTAGGGACCATCACAAACCTCACCACTTTCCTTTCCAAGGCCAGGTGCATTTCTTTGACCTTGCCTTCTGTCACATAAACACAGAGCAACAGGTATATTTATTTTTTTAAAAAGCAACTACCAGAACAAGACACTCCCCTGCACACGCTTCTCCCTCTGGGGAGAGGATGAGAGAACAAACAACCTGTGACAGATGTGTAGTCACTTTGCTTGATGAATGGCTGGAAGGCGCTCAGAGGCTATGGTGACAAGCTTGTATAGGGACTTATATAGAACAGAATAGAAGAATAAAGACTTTCACATCTGTCTGTTGCTGGCAGAAGCACTACCCTAGACCAGCTGCTGGCATTTCAATCAGTTGGCCGGAGCAGGTCAGCATGACTTGGTGATTAAAACACAAGTGGCTGCTAGGGCCTTTACTACACTAGGGCTCCCATGGCTTCTATGGCACCACCAGTAAAGCTACAACAGGCAGGTCTCCAGTGGAAGTTTTTAAAGAAAAAATTGACACCTGCAAGAGGAAACATGGTCCAACGGGCTGGGCCTGGGACTCAGGAGAGCGAGTTTCTATTCCTGGCTCTGCCGCTTCTCAAATGGCAAGAGAGGATAGCCAAGGCCAGATTAATGAGCCAGGAGGCAGCTTTGGAAGAGTCTTGGTGTAAATCTGAAATGCCACCAGCAAATGATCGAAGCGGGGACTGATTTACAATGTGGTCCATAGCTTGCGATTGCTCTCCAGTCACATTATGCGTTGTCTCTCCTCTTCCAGAGGTGTAGGAGATGACAGCACTTGCCATATTATGTTCTGAAATGGTTCAGTACGGGCCATTGCTTCCAGCATAGGTTGAAACCTGGAAGCTATTTTGAGGGGTCAGCAATTAGGTGTTTGTTTGGGATATTAGCATTATCCCAGAATCCTTTCCAGTGCGATTTGCGATTGAAGAGGACTCCTTAAGAGCTTTAGCCTCATCCCAAGAGGGCTTGGGGGATTTCAGATGTGTCTTTGGAAAGTTCTGGAGGTGCTCATGAATTGGTAAATCCAGGTCAGCCATGGTTCCATTGTACTCACAGGCTGTATGTGGGTGTATCTCCAGATTTTGGGTGGAGGTATATGTGCCAGAATGGGCAACCATTGGATGGGTGTTCATTTAAATGTTCCAGGTGTAATACTCATCGCAGCATTGAGCTGCTTGTCCAGAAAATTCGTATGTGAGCTCAGACTGGTGTGCAATATTTAGCGGGCAGGTATACCAGTCAAGAGTTGCTATTTGAAGTGTGTGTGCATTGGCACCCCATGTTGTGCTTGTGAGTTTTTGGACAAGGGTAGTCCTTGCTTTTACTTTTTCACATCTTTTCCAGATGAGCTTTAGAAGTCAGACTTGTATCCAAGGTTACACTCAAGTACTTCAGACTGGGTTCATTTCAGACTGTTGACTGAGAAAGGAGACATGAAGTGGTTCCTTGACGGCTTTGTTGTTTCGGTGAAAGGCTATTAGCAAGGTTTCGGAGGCACTGGGATGGAGTTTCCAGTACTGAGGTTGGTGGAGAGGATGTTGCTGATGGTGGTAAGGTCTTTGCCTTGTGGCACAACAGCAACGCCATTGGCACAGATGAATTTATGCCAAGTTTTATCAGGTAAGTCGCTAATGTAGATGTTGAATAGTGAAGGAGCAAGCACAGATTCTTGAAGTAGACTATCACAGGGGGTGCATGCTTTGCTGATATACCCATTGAACAGGAAACAGTATCTATGGTTGCTCAACATAGTGGCCAGCAGTCATATAGTGCTATGGCATCTGATAGCCTTTGATGCCTTGAGCGATAGCCCACATCTCCATACCATGTCGTACGCAGTGGAGAAATCTATCAGCACTGTTCCAGTTTTTAGATTCCACCTGAAGCCAGCCTCAGTGTGACCATTAATGGCGAGAACCTAGTCGCAGAAACTTCGTCCCAGTCTGAAACCAGCCTATTGCTTTGGCAGGATAGCCTGAAACATAGGGGTGAGAAGGCCAGTGAAACCCTATCCATTAACAGGTGAGTTGTGGAGAGGAGTGATATTGGGCAACAGCTGGTTTCCCATGTTTGTGATGTCAGTGACTATTGCCTCACACCAGTATTTTGGGATCTTTTCTGTCAAATATATGGCAGCGAATACATCTGCCAACTATCCTCTTCTCTTTGCTCCCAAATTCTTGAGGAATTGGGATATATCATCCTTGCCAGAAGCTTTCCCATTTTTAGTGGCGATGTGGGCCTTGATTATTTCTTCTCTAGTGTCTGGGGCTGAGAGTGAAGTGCCGGGGCTTTGTCAGACATTCAGAAGTGCTCTCTCTGAACCTTCTGTCTAGTCAGTTTGTCAGTTTTGGTCGCTGAATTCCAGAGAAGGTATGAGGTGACAGCATTAGCCGTCATTTTCGATTGATGATATTTTGCTGGGTCAACAAGTCCAAGCACACGGAGGGGTGCCCAGGCTTTGCAACTGCAATGAGTGAAGTCAAGACCCTCCACTGTCTCATTCCATCTTCTCAGATGCACAGAGTTCAACGGTTCTATTAGTGCTTTTGCTGCGTCCGGATCACCGCTCTTCTCACACTTTTTAAAGAATGCCTCTGTCTCTGGCTGCCAGCAAGGAGCACAGACCTCGCCATAGCCATGAGGAATGTGTTTCACAGCAGCTTTGATAAGAAGGTGAACAAGGTCATAGTATTCTAGGAAAAACTTGATACGCTGCATCCTGTCTTAACTGCTGGGGTACATGCAACCAGGGCTTTGGAGCTGTGCTCCAGCTCCAGGCAAAAACCTGCAGCTCCACTGCTCCAGAGCTGCTCTGCGCTCCAGCTCTGGGCTCCGCTCCAAAGCCCTGCATGCAACCCAGTTTGCTTTGCAGAAATTCTAGCACCATTTCAGCATTGATTCAATCAGCAGAACTCCACAGCTGACCTGCATAACGGTGGAGTGGTGTTGGCTGCAAGGAAAGTTTCCAAGCACTGTTTGTAAAGCTTGCAGGAGGACATCAATATTGTCCTTCATCAGAAAACAGAGGTCTGGGTTGTGTTTAGTGTTCCATGTGGCTGAGTGAAAATTCCCTACTTGTTTAGGGTTGTAAAGAAGGTAGACATCTACAAATGAGGCCCAGTTTGTGAGTTGCTCACCGGCTGTATCATTTCTGCTATAGTCTCATTGCGAGTGGTGGCTATTAAAGTCACCAGGGTAGCAGCTGGGTGAAGAAAAGATGGTGATGTGGGCTCCTGCCATTCAAGATTTGGAGGTTTGTAGATGTTTGTTATGGTCAGTCAGTTCTCTGGCTCTTATTGCAGCAATAGAGTTTCCCATGGTCTTGGATTCCTCCAGGACTGCAACATCTTTAAGACCATGGCTGATGGATGTGGCAAGGCTGTACTTCGCGTTGTTCATAGTGGCAATGAGTTCATAGCCACACGTTTAGTATCTTGCAGCTCGCTCAGACTCTGCAGCATGAGTTTCTTGTAGAGCAGCAACATCAATGTTATGCACCTAAGAACTCATCAAAGATAGTCACCCTTAGTATGCGACAGACCGTCCACATTATGTTGATCTATACATAGAGCTGATCCGGCAGTTCCTCAAGGCAACTCCAGACAAGGACTCTTAACAAATGTCACAGGACAAAACAACAGCCTTCATGTTGCATGTTATTGGCTAACATAATGCATTTTGCTGACCTCCTGGTATGATTGTCTCTGCCACTGATCTCCTGTATTACCTTGGGTGAGTCACTTTACTTATCTGTGTCCGTGTTTCCCATCCCATCCTTTCTCAGTTTAGTTTCCAAGCAGTTCAGGACAGCTCACTCGATGTATGTAGAGTGCCTAGCACAACAGATCCCTGATCTTAGTTTAGGCCTCTAGGTGTGACCAGAATATAAATAATAATAACAAGGCCTTTTGCGGCTATGACTTTTAAACTCTATTGCCCACCCACTGTGATAAATAAAATAAAATAAAATAAATACAGATATATACTAAATGACACACACACGGATTGAGAACATCTATTTTTCTCCAGGCAAACTCCCTGACAGATGTAGAATGAATTGCATATGCTATGCAGAAGTTATTTAACATCAGCTACAGTAGAAAAATGTATTAAAGGAAGACATGTGATTGTTCATGAGTCTGTGCTTTCAGGACTCCCCTCTAACAGCTTCTGCAGCTGCAGCCCATGACATGAGTTTGTGCCTTGACTACAAGGAGTAGAAAGGACATGAGGACTCCTTACCCAGCGTCTGCCCGGCAAGTATTCGTCCGTTCTCCCCCAGGACAGCGGCCCGTGCGTGCCTCTCATTCGAGTACTGTACGAACGCATAGCCCTTGTGAACGGAGCAGCCCACCACTCTGCCGTACTTGGAGAAAATGGTCTCCACATCTGATTTCTTGACGACGGCTGTGTTGAGATTCCCAATAAAGACTCTGGAGTTGATGGACTTGGGGTCGTTCTTGTTTGTGATGTTACTTGTCTGCACCTTCAATGACATCTTGAACACCTGGGTAAACAAGTCAGGAGGGTCAGGAAGGGTGTAACATGCTAGAGGGAACAGCATGAATGTAATAAAAATGGGGGTCAGAGAGAGAAGGAATTTGGGATTACAACCCTTCATCACACTGCAAACCAATAAACAACCCCATCACTTCATGCAGCAGTTTGTGGGGACTGCAGGTGCCCCCAGACCCATGGCTGGAATAACAGCTGCAGAAAGAGGAGGCAACGCTGCAGTTCTGCACCCCGGAATTGCATTTGAGGGGTTTGCATGTGACAACCTCACCACCTGGTCCCACCCATGTAAACTTTGATTACTCCAGCTCCCCGTGTGTGGAGTAGATTGTCTCTGTGCCATTCCTTTCACCCAGTTCTGGTCCTTCTCATTCAGACAGACCAAAAAAAGTCAATGGAAACTTCAGCCTTTTGTCTGCAGTGCATATTTTGCCGAGTTGCTGTAAAACTACGCTATTCAGCAGGATGCTTTTGTCTGCCACTGAGACTGTACCTGAACATGCATAGTAGTACTGTAAGCTATTTTCAATATGCAATGCGGTGCCTGCCTTGGAACACCATTGGACATGTAAGATTCACATTTCCCACTATCTCTCCCGACTCATATATTATTCACTCCCCCAGATCAATCTGAACAGCTTTCTACTTTGCATTAGAAAGCCAAACAGAGCAGGCAGCCAGACTTTAACTTTCATTTTCTTTTCTACAACACAAAGTCAACATAACCAGTGCCAGCTCAGCTCTGAGCTGATGTCACTAAAACCAATACCAGGGTTTGGCTCATTGTTCCGCCAGTGCCCTACAGCCTCCGCCTTCCCTGGTGAATCCTGCTCCAGGCTGGTGCAGAGATGTGGTGAAGCCAATCCCACGTCTTCTGTTGGCTGTGTGTCTGCAAGTGTTTACAGAAGCCTGAAGTAGACTCTGAGTGCATCCGAGAAAGCACTGAACGCCCGCAGCTCTCACTGGAGTTGACCGAGTTCTGGTTACTCAACGCTTCTCAGGATCAGGGACTAAAAATCAGTCACCTAGGCCTGTGCCAGGAATATTTCAATTTGTTCCAGAGCAAGATTGCTTTGTGTGTAAGATCCTGCAAGCATCATTTCCTAGACTAAAGGTTTGATACTAGTTATCAGAGATACAAGCTATAATCTGGGCATTTTAGATAAAACGTATCCGTCATCTGACTCACTCTCTTTCATCTATAAAGACAGTACAGGGATATCAGGAGGTTCCTCTGGCTTTTGGTAACTACGGGAACTGGGTCTGTGATGCTGTGAATACCCCCCCGCGCGATGTGTGTGTGTGTCCTGATTTAGTTTTTCTGCATTTTACTTTGCATGTTTGATAGTTTATAAATTATTTAAAATAAAAAAAATAACAATAATTAAAAATAATGAAAGATCTCATTGCAGGATTCTGTTCCCCTGCACTCTGAGTCTGATTTCAAGTTATTTAAAGAAAAAGTCACTGCAGCTTTTCCACAACTAGCTCAAAATGAAACTCCAAGGGTCTGTTTCTGAGTGCTCTCAAATGGATGCTCTGGGGAGAAGATGGCTGCAGGGGCGGCTCCAGGCACCAGCGCACCAAGCGCGTGCCTGGGGCGGCAAGCCGCGGGGGGCGGCAGTCAGGGATCCTTCGGCGGTATGCCTGTGGGAGGTCCGCCGGTCCTGCGGCTTCGGCGGCAATTCAGCGGTGGGTACGCCAAAGGCGCGGGACCGGCGGACCTCCCGCAGGCATGCCGCTGAAAGCTGCCTGACTGCTGTGCTTGGGGCGGCAAAATACATAGAGCCGCCCCTGGGTGGCTGTGACCTCCCCCTCTCATGCACCTATGGAGGGGCCACTTATTTAGGTCCCTGCACATGGATTTTTGCAGGCAAACATTAAGCTCTCCATTCTCCTTTGGCATAAATCCTTTCTGTCATGCAATCCCTGCCCTGAGGCCTCACGCGCTGAACAGAGTGAAGTTAAGTGCTCCACTCTGAGATCCTGTAGCTGGAATAATACACAGGCATTCCATACCACAGCTGGAATTGCTCAGCAGTGCAAATTGTGAGACGTGACCACATATTTACTGTGTGCTGAAATCCCCTTGGATTCTCCTAATTGACTCAGCTACCAGAGGTACCTGTAATGCCCAGGTGAGTCCTGCCAATCACACAGAATATCCAATCCAGGTTTTGCACAGTATTTAAATGTCTCTGGAGGCACAACTAGGACTAGATTGTGTCACCTAGGCACAGACCTGAACTGAGGGTGGGAAACCTGCTCTCCATGGCATTCCCAGCCAGCTCTGTGACTGATGTGAAGGGGAGGGAACAGGGTAGTGGACCCTCCTCCTTCCCCATCCCATTTGCAGTGATGTGAGTCTGCACGCCCCCAAGCAGAGGGACTCTGCTTGTTACAAGCCCCTGTGTGACGTGTGCAACAGACAGGAGCCGTCTCTCTCCACAAGGGTCAGTCTTAATGTGAACCAGAGGAGTCAGACACCTCTTGGAGAACAGTGTATTAAATGTCCACCAGTGAGTTCAGTTGCTTCTCATAGCACAGGGGCGAGTCTTTTTCCCTTCCTGAATCCTGTGAATGTAAAACTATCTGAGTCCCGATTCCTAGCCAGGTGAAATATAAGAGTTAGCTAGTAATCCGGTTGTGCATATGTTATTTGGGTAAAGCACACACCAGCATCATACCAGGCATTCTCCACAGTGTGACAGTTCCTTCACTGCTTGCTCACGTTCTTGTAAGGAGCTCAGATACCAAAATGATGATCATGGTATAAAGACAAAAATAGATAGACAGAAAGCATGGTGTATGCGGGGATAAATAGACAGACAGCAATGTGTATATGGGGATAGATAGATAGATAGATAGATTTTTACATTTATCTATAATTTTTGCATCATAAAGAGAAACCCCCCCAGCAGATATAAGTAGCTGTACGGGAAAAAATACAGGAACTGAACATATTTGCACACTCTTGTAATACATCCCAGTGACTTGGCTGACAGGGCAGTCTGCTTGGAAGCCAAAACTACTGGTTGTAGTCAGGGCTGGCTTTAGGACCTGCGGGGCCCAATTCGAATACCCGGCGGCGGTCCGGGTCTTCGGCAGCACTTAGGCAGCGGGGGGTCCGCTCCGCATCTCCCGCAGCACTGAAGGACCCCCTGCCGCCGAAATGCCACCGAAGACCCCAGAGCGGACCCCACCCCCACCGCCGAAATGCCGCTGGAACGGACCGCCGCCGGGTGAGCCTAAGGCACGGGGCCCTCTTAGGCGCGGGCGTAGGGCCCTCTTACCTGCGGGGCCCGATTCCGGGGAATCAAGGGAATCAGCCTAAAGCCGGCCCTGGTTGTAGTAAATAATTTGTGAATTCAAAAGGTAGATAGTAGAACAGGGATTGGCAACCTTTGGCACGCGGCCCACCAGGGTAAGCACCCTGGCGGGCCGGGCCAGTTTGTTTATCTGCCGCATCCGCAGGTTCGGCCGATCGCGGCTCCCACTGGCTGCGGTTCGCGGCTCCAGGCCAGTGGGGGTGGCAGGAAGCGGCAGCCAGCACATCCCTCGGCCCTCACCGCTTGCCAAAGGTTGCCGATCCCTGTGGTAGAATTTAGACTATAATGGGGTTATCAGTTTATTTTGGTTTCCCATCCCGTCAGTCCTGGCCCCTTTGAAATTTGATTTGGTTTGGATTTCATTGAACACAAACTGCAACCCAGTCAAAAATGCCTGGCGTCAGCTGAATTCATAACAAGTTTTGCATGGTTTTGAAATCACAGCTCAGCCCCTTGTCGCTCTGGCCCCGAATCAGCACGGTGCTTAAGCATCTGAGTAGGGAAAGTTAGGCATGTGCTTAAATTCATGCTGAATCAAGATTGATGCCCCGGGTCTGGGTTTGCCTGGAAGGCTGCAGACCTTACAAAGCTTTGGCTGAGTTTGTAATGAGACCTGGGATGTTTGGCTTGCTTTGGGGGTTTGTAATATATATTTTGCAAAGTTCTACTCTGAATTTTCTTGAGGCTGGAAACAAGAAGTCTCTGTGATGAGCCCAGTTAGCTAACTACCCTCACACACAGGCCACGGGCTGGGGCTGCCTGATTGTCTGCAATGCTCTTTTTGATTTGGGGTGAACATGTCATTGATTCATCTGTTGCTTCCCCAGCACAACTGCATCAGGTGCTATGTCCCCATTACAATCTCTGTCTCAGCTATTCTTGAATTTCAGCATCTGATATGTTTCCATTCTGTCTTGTCAGCCTTATTCCTGTGACACCCTGTATGGAGCCGAGCCATTTCTCACTCCAGGAGCTTCTCTTTTCATCTGGCTCTGAGCTGATTGATTGCAAACCCCTCCTGGTCACGTGTAAAAAGCCCCAGTGAATTTGTTGGCCTTCACTCAGTTCCTGGTGAATTATAGTTTACACCACAAAACAACAGCTTTCTTCTTGCAGGTCCAGACAAGTAGCAATCTCAGCTACATAACAACGTGCAGCATGGAATAAAAACAATACCATAACGTTGCTTCACTGGATAATGGGTTTTGGTCACCAAGGGTGAAATTCATCCCTCTGCAAAGGGTAGCATGAAGCCAAGGTGCCACGTACTTCTCACATAAGCTCTAGTTTGGGGAGCTAAGTGGTGAATAGGCCTTGTGTGGATGCTCTGCACAAGGGGGAATTTCATCCTAAAGGAACAGTTATTGTTGCACTTCCCTGCCATTAAGCTACCTGTAAGTGAGGAGTTGTGGAAACGGTTACCACATTCTACTGCTGATCAGTGGCCCACCTGGAAGGAGTTGGTGACTGAAGTTTGTTTCCCAATGGGTAGGTGTTAACATCAGTTATCACCGCTTGCCTGGCCGTGCCAGTCTCCTCAGAGAGACCAAGTGTTCAATGTGCCATGGACCCCTGAAATCCTCTCCCAGCCCAAGAGTTGGTCCCTCCACAACAGGACTCAGGAAAGTTGTGGGGGATGGAGTCAGGATAAGATTGTACGTCAGCTGCCTGTGCTGTTCCTGCCCGGAGGGCTCCAGCAATGTCAGTTTTATACCCTGCAGAGTTTTGCCAACACTAAATACATTTAGAAAAAATGGTCTTAAAAAAGGAAAGACAGTTCCGAGCAAGCAGACCCTCTGTACATCATCACGCTCAGTGTCACAGAGTGGGGATCGTGTCTCCCCGGGGTTGCAGGGTTCAGAGTCTGTCTGTGAGGGAAAGAACTCTGCCCCAGCCATGGGAGAACTGCTGCTGGCTATACTGTGCTTACCAGGATTCTAGACTAGCACTGATGGGGAATCTAGTTCAATATTGAAATCCATTTTTATTCATAAATCAAAGTTTTACAAATAATATAGAAAAGCTTTTACCTGCTGGTACTTAATGAAAGTTCTAGGGCCCCATTTGTAAAGTGATCTCAATCCAGCTCCTGCAATTACGGCTGTATCTTTAATGCACGGCAAGCACCTGTTAAAAATGTTCATATCGCTCAAAACAAATAAAAGCCAGCACTTGCACCCAAGGTTTTGCACTTGCAATCAGCCAGGAGCTCAGTTTTGTGGCTGCAGATGATGACATTTAGGTGTCAAACTCCCTGTTCTGCAGCCTCGGGCAGTCTGATGTCTCTCTAGTCTTGCTTTTACATTTCAGTGGCAGAGCTTGTGAATTCAGCCTCCCTAAATGCCTAGCGCTGCAACTAGCTGAGTTGCCGATGAACAGCAGGTGTCACTGTTACCTTGGGAACAGACAGGCTGTCAGCCACTCAGTGACTTGGCTATTAACTAACTCCAATCCATTTTCCATAACCCTAAGCCATGCTGCTCCGATTTCCTTGCCTGTGGTATTCCAGAGACAGCAGCTGAGAAAAGGACTCATCTCTCAAAACAAGAGGGAAGGCTGAATTGACAGCTCTGTGAAATTAAATCTCTAGTCCTGCTCTATCTGCCTGACATCACGCCTGTTGCGGTGGTTGCTGAGCACATACAAAGATGACAGCAGTCCGGTGATAGCCTGATTTTTCTCTCCCTCTTTCCAGAAGCAGGTCTGATTTTGGGGAACACATTACTGCATGTTTCATACATATTGTATGTTACTTCCATGGGAAAAGCTAGCTCAGAGAGATGGAACATGAAATCTCTGTCTCAGAATTTCACTTTAGAGTTCAGGGGAGAGGAAATGTACCCTTGCTGCGTATGCCAGACTGGTGACCTTACATGGACATAGCCCCTTTCCTCCCAAAGCACTTTCCAAACCAAACACGCTGCTACAAACGAGACATCAACCTCCGCTGAAATGCAGCTGACTCTGCCAAAATGCAGCGCCTGCTTAGCAGAGCCCACCAGCTCCATGCTGTCATGCTTCCTTCTTCTTCCTATGTTGTCAAACACTCCTGACCCAGCCCTTTAATTTTAAAAGCACAAAGGAAGAGACGGTCCAGTCCTTTCATCATTTAAAACCATATTATACCAAGCGCTTGGAAATATGGCATAGGGAACAATCCTTTACTGGGTGCAGTGGGAGGCACTTGATGGCTTAATACATCATTTCCATCTCTACCTTCTTTGATTCTATTAACCCAACACTAAAATTGGAAACACTATGCCTGCTAGATTCCACTCTTAACAAGCTGGACGTGGTTTGGGTTTGCTATGATTACATTTCTCTTTTCACCCCTGGAGCTTAAAATAGCCAGAGGTTTGTTTTCTTTAAGAATATAAGTACGGCCATACTGGGTCTGACCAAAGGTCCATCTAGCCCAGAATCCCGTCTTCCGACAGTGGCCAATGCCAGGTGCCCCAGAGGGAATGAACAGAACAGGTAATCATCAAGTGATCCATCCCCTGTCGACCATTGCCAGCTTCTAGCAAACAGAGGCTAGGGACACCATCCCTGCCTATCCTGGCTAATACCCATTGATGGACCTATCCTCCATGAACGTATCTAGTTCTTTATTGAACCCTGTTATAGTCTTGGCCTTCACAACATCCACTGGTAAAGAGTTCCACAGGTTGACTGTGCGTTGAGTGAAGAAATACTTCCTTTTGTTTGTTTTAAACCTGCTGCCTATTAATTTCATTTGGTGCCCCCTACTTCTTGTGTTATGAGAAGGAGTAAATAACACTCCCTGATTTACTTTCTCCACACCAATCATCATTGTATAGACCTCTATCATATCCCCCCTTAGTCTCCTCTTTTCCAAGCTGAAAAGTCCCAGTTTTATTAATCTCTCCTCATATGGAAACTGTTCCATACCCCTAATCATTTTTGTTGCCCTTTTCTGAACCGTTTCCAATTCCAATATATCTTTTTTGAGATGGGGTGACCACATCTGCACGCATATTCAAAATGTGGGCGTACCATGGATTTATATAGAGGCAATATGGTATTTTCTGTCTCATTATCTATCCCTTTGCTATGATTCCCAACACTGGCGAGAGGGACGAGCTTTTGAGCTTACACAGAGGTGTCAAAGTTCTCACAGTGCTTTACTCAGGTTATCATCATTATCAGCACAGCAGACTTGGGGAAACTGAGGAATAGAGACGTTAAGGGCCAAACCTTTTCAAGTGCTCACTAATTCTGAGGGCCCAGTTTGAGATATCTAGGGCCTGCTTCTCAGAAAGTGCTGAGCAGCCACTGAGACCCCTTTGGAAAATTTGGGTCCTCAGGCCTTCTCCTACTTCTGCTGCCTTCCAAATTGAATGCTTGGGGTCCTGGAATACATCCCGTTGCCTTTACTCTTTGCATACTCCAAGCTTAGAGCCTGATTCTGATTTCACTTAAACCAGCATAAAACTGGAGTCAATGGAGTTACTCTTGATTTACCCCATGTGTGTGAGAGGAAAACCAGTCCCTAGAGGGTGAAGAGTTTGAATTCACTTAGTTCTCCACTCTCGGCTGGCACCCTGCATGTGAACTGTAGGTTTTAGCTACTCTGCCCTAAGCAAAGCAGGGCGTGGTTATTAGCCACCATCTAGGATTCCTGGAGAATTGAAGGGAAGATGCTGATACTTCCCTCAGTGATTTGGACTAGTTAGTCTATCAGCCTTTTTTTGCCTCTGGCCCCGATAAAAGATCCTGCCTTAGGAAAATGCCTTTGGCAACTGCAGGGAGAGAAAGAGTTTTCCTTACATGCCAGAAGTCCCAGGGACTGCTGATCAATAGGACTTCCTCTGCCAGGGCCTGGGGAGCATAAAGAGCCACAGGGACTAGTACAAGATGAACTGTGACCTTCACCGTGTCCCATGCCCGTGCTCAGGCACTCTCCATGGAAGGAGGGAGGTTATTGTCTTAATACAGCTGCAGCTCCAGTATGAATGACTTTTCTCCCTCTGTCACGTTCTTTATCCCAGGAAACCAAGCTTGCCTTGCCTCAGGATGGTCCTTACTGCTTGGCAGCTGCTGAGTGAGTTGGGGGTTGGGGTGGCCTCAGCCTACAGATGGCTGGAATTACTCTCACCACCAGCATTACCTAGGAAGATAGGAACAGCCAGACTGGATTAGATCAATGATCCAGCCAGACAAGGTTTCTGTCTCTGACAGTGGCCAGCACTGGATGTTTCATAGGCTTGGTCTACATTACAGACTTATGTCAGTGTAACTATGTCACACAAAATCCACTCCCCTGAGCGACACAGTTATACCGTCCAAATTCCTTGTGTGGATTGCACTATGTCAATGGGAGGGCTTCTCCTGTCGACATAGCTACTGCGTCCTGGGGAAGTGGAGTACCTACACGTCACAGTAGTGCTATACGTGTAGACCAGCCCAGAGGAAGATGCAAGGAACCCTGCTGCAGGTTGTTATAGGGTAGCCTGGACCCAGGGAAAGTTTCTTCTTAACCCCCAATAGATAGAGATTGCAGAAAGGTTTATGACCCATCCAAACATCTTGTTGATTTTTTTTTGTATTTACTGTTATAATTCAGTACTTTTGCTATCCAAGTAAAATTTCTGATCCCATTGTAATCCTGCTAATCTTTTGGTTTCAATGAGATCTGGTGGCAGTGAGTTCCACAGTCTAACTGTACATTGTCTATAAAAGCATTTCATTTTTATCAATTGTGAATTTGCCACCTTTCCATTGCATTGAATGTCCCCCGCCACCCCCGCCATGTTCTTGTGCTGTGATATGGAGATAACAGAAGTTCCAAACCTCCCTTCTCTAGGCTGTTCATTATTTTAGATATTTGTACCATGTCCCCTCTTCTCCATCTCTTTGCTAAGGCAAACAATCCCAATCTTTCCCATCTCTCTTCACATGAGAGTTTAGTCAGGCCCCTGGTCATTTTAATCTCTGAACCCCTTCTAATCCTAAAGAAGAAAGAGACCCTTGAGCTCCCGAGCCCAGGAGACACCTAAAGTTAGTGGAGAGAGTGGGGTGCCTGTTCTGTTAAGGGTGACTAGAGTCCTGTAAGAGAAGGAGGGTGGGAAACTTGCCAGTGACAACAGAACGCTGACTTCACCTGGGGCGTTTTGAAAAGCTTGTATGCCTGATCTAGCCACATGTACTCGGCACACACACATAGCTAAGAGCAATCCAAAAGCCCACACTGGGTGCTTGCAGCGGGTTCCACATGCCCCCATGTTAGATGCTCTTGCTTTTGTGCATGTACTTTTCAAAACCTGGTTCAGGAGTTGGGCAAACCTGAAATCCCTTTGGAGGGAATCTAATCCGCTTGCTTGGGTTTGCCAGGATCCAATACCATTACCCACCTCACACCAGCTAGGTGTGTGCAAAGGTTGCTCTTGGGTTTTGCACAGGCACGTAGGAATCTCATTGCATTATGCAGCCACTTGGTAGAATGGGCAGAAAAGTAGTAGTCCATTTGGTGGCTGTTATTAACAAATGCTCCCCCTCTCAGTGTTTCAGGTTAGCTTTTAGAATCAAATGTTTAGAATTTGCATAGCATTTTATCTGGTTTATTTTAGTTCCCAACCTGCTCCGATAATGTCTCCTTAGCTTCTCTGCTTCATGCTATCTTGGCAGAGACAGGCCTTTTCATTCTCCTCTCTCTCAGGGATCCTAGGAACCCTGGTTAGGAAAAAAAACCCACCCAAGCCCTAGCACCAAATCAAATAAAATCCTGTCGGCCCTCTGCCCCTCCTCGCTGCATCTCTGAAGAACGAAAATGCCAATATCTCAAGTGCTGGCTTAGGAAAGCTTCAGCCTGCTATTAGCCTAAATGCTTTCCAAATTCTAATGAGCCCAGAACGGTGATATTTACAAATGTTTGAATCTCGGACCAGCTGTTTGTGTCTGTAAACACTAATAACATCAGCAAGCTGAGCTCTCTCAGACTGTGTAGGAGGAATGTGGGTAAAGCTGCCTCAGTGCAGCGAATATGTGGCCTGAATAGAGAGAGGGATATGATATCCGAATGA